TTCCTTCCTTCCTTCCTTCCTTCCTTCCTTCCTTCCTTCCTTCCCCAAGACAGGGTTTCTCTGTGTAGCTTTTTTTGGAGCCTGTCCTGGATCTCGCTCTGTAGCCCAGGCTGGCCTGGAACTCACAGAGATCCACCTGGCTCTGCCTCCCGAGTGCTGGGATTAAAGGTGTGCGCCACCACTGCCTGGCTTTTTCTGTTTTCTTTTTCAAACAAAAGTCCAGCGAGAATGGGAATGTTTTGCACATATCTTTAATGCCTGGCTTCATAGAAGATGACTGGGCCCCAGGTACTACTGCCTCCCATCTCCTGGGACAACACACACACATGTAGCTCTGGAACTCCACTGGGCACTCCTGTGGGAATGAAGGAGAAAAGACACAGAGCACCATCGTGTCCTGTGGAATGCAGTTCAGAACCCGTGGGTCCCCTGCACAGGGGCGCACGCAGCACTTGAGAACAGTTGCCTTAGTGGGTAGAGGGAGGCACCATTCCTCCGGTCCGGTGGCATCCTGTGGGGCTACCTCCTTCCAAAGGAAAGGCGGTTTGTTTCTATGTCTTTGTTCTGGCCCTTCCTGTAGTCCATTCCCAAGCTCCCCCATGCTGTCTCCTCCATTCCCTGCTTCTTTTTCCTAATCTGTATGTACTTTTAATTGCTCATTTATTAGCTTTCCTTGGATCTAAAACAGCTGGGACCTTGAAGCTCAGTATTTGAAACTAAACTTAAAAGTATCCCACTCTGCCTTTCCTGCCCAGCTAGCCACAGCTTCCGCCTCTGCTCACCACAGACCTTGTTATCACCTTGGTTGTTCCATTTTAAGAACATTTTTCCCTCTGAGTTAGACTTGACAGGAACTTCCTGTCATATATCTGAGATGATTTCTTTTATCAGACCTTGAAGAGTTGAGCATTTTGTTTTTGAGATCTTCTTTATCTCTTCTAAGAGGAATTCTTTCTCAGTGGAGGTGCTTTTACCTTAAATAAAATAAAAACTTGAAATTACTAAAAGCAGTTGTTCAGATGACTTATACAACCTGAAATAGTTCTTTTAAGTATAAACAGTAAATTAATGTTGCTAAAATTTATAAGCTAATAACAGAATTATTCAGAAATGCATATCTTTGGTTAAACTGTTAGGTCGAATTTTTCTAAGACCCTGGTATTTTGACAACTTTTTAATTATTAGTGTGCATTTGTGTTTCCTAAGCTGATGTTTATTATGTCTTTTCCCCCTTCTTATTTGAATTTTTAAATTTTTTTTTCTGTCTTCACAGTCACAAACTCGCAGAACCCCAAGTCTCTCGAGTCTCAATTCCCAGGATTCCAGTATTGAAATTTCAAAGCTTACTGATAAGGTGCAGGCCGAATATAGAGATGCCTATAGAGAGTACATTGCTCAGATGTCCCAGTTAGAAGGGGGCACAGGGTCGTCAACAATAAGTGGCAGATCTTCTCCACACAGCACATACTACATAGGTCAGAGTTCTTCAGGGGGCTCCATCCATTCTACTCTAGAGCAGGAGAGGGGGAAGGAGGGTGAGCTGAAGCAGGAGGATGGGCGGAAGTCATTCCTAATGAAGAGGGGGGATGTCATAGATTACTCCTCCTCAGGGGTGTCCACTAGTGATGCCTCACCCCTGGACCCCATTACTGAAGAAGATGAAAAATCCGACCAGTCAGGTAGTAAGTTGCTCCCAGGCAAGAAATCCTCAGAACGGCCCAGTCTCTTCCAGACAGACCTGAAGCTTAAGGGAGGTGGTCTGCGCTACCAGAAACTGCCCAGCGATGAAGATGAATCTGGTCCAGAAGAGTCAGACAATACCCCACTGCTCAAAGATGACAAGGATAAAAAAGCTGAAGGCAAAGCAGAGAGAGTGTCCAAGTCTCCAGAACACAGTGCTGAGCCAATCCGAACATTCATTAAAGCAAAAGAGTATTTGTCGGATGCCCTCCTAGACAAAAAAGATTCCTCCGATTCGGGAGTGAGATCCAACGAGAGCTCTCCCAACCACTCTCTTCACAATGAAACGGCAGACGACCCCCAGCTGGAAAAGGCAAATCTCATAGAGCTTGAAGACGATGGCCACAGTGGGAAGCGTGGGATGCCACACAGTCTGAGTGGCCTGCAAGATCCAATTATAGCTCGGATGTCTATTTGCTCGGAAGACAAGAAAAGCCCTTCCGAGTGCAGCCTGATTGCCAGCAGCCCTGAAGAGAGCTGGCCCGCGTGCCAGAAGGCCTATAATCTGAACCGAACACCCAGTACCGTGACCCTCAACAACAACACTGCGCCTGCTAACAGAGCCAACCAAAACTTTGATGAGAGGGAGGGAGGCAGGGAGACTTCTCAGGTCATTCTGAGGCCTGGGCCCAGTCCCAACCCAACTGCTGTTCAGAATGAAAATCTGAAGAGCATGTCGCACAAGCGAAGCCAGCGTTCCAGTTACACAAGGCTCTCGAAAGATGCGTCTGAGCTGCATGCAGCCTCCTCGGATAGCACGGGCTTTGGAGAAGAGAGAGAAAGCATTCTCTAAGGAAAAGAGAAGTGAAGTAGCGTTGTCCTACCCTAAGGACTGTCATGAACTTTAAACTGGTCCGTCACCATTCTCCATCATGTCCATGCATCACAGATAACTGATAGGTGGTCAGGCACCTGGGGAAGCATACGCCCTCTGTACAGCAGAGGGAAGCCTGAGACAGGATGGCCACCAGTCATCTCCATTATCGCCTGCATCATGGGCAGTTTAAAGTCTCACCACCACCATGATGCCCTTCCCTGGCACACAACTGCACAGATTGAGGAGAAACAGGCTGAATATAAAAATAGGTCAGAAGTGTATTTAAAGCTGAAAGGCTTAAATCACAAGGAAAAAAACCTAGAGATCTCCTTTATAAAATATTCATGAAACATTTGAGGGAAGCTATAGTGCTAGATGAAGCAGAAACCAATTTTACTGTTAGAGTTTAATCTTGGTACAGATTTATAGGTTTTTAGAGTAGAGACCAGAGACTAAAAGTGAATGCCTAGCAAGCGGATAGCCAGGGTACTATATAAGACTCACTGCTTTTTAAAGAGCTCTTAGAATTTAAGTAGAAAATACATACTGAAGAGGCTGATAAAAGCTGATAAGAAAGTGAGTCAGCAGAACCCAAAGCAGTGGGCCTGGGCCGTGGTGAGTGGTTAGCAGAGGGGCTGGAGGAGAGCAGTGTATTCCTGGGGTGCTCTCCAGACCAGGCCTCTGCCTCTGACACCTATGCCCTCAAAACCATCCTGGGCTGCTCTGCAACTCCTAAATGATGCATCTAACCTAGCTTAGCTCTGGCTAGGAGAAAAATACAATTTTTTCCCAATGGTTCTGGTGATTAAACGCAGGACCTCACCAATGCTAGGTGAAGTATGGCTGAGCTACATCCCAGCCCTGAACTTGAGTCCTTTCCCCGGAGAATGACTGTGTCAGGAAATCGTTACTTTAGAAGAGTTAGTGACAATGACCCTAGACCAGCTACAAGCAAATATGTGATTACGTCACTGCCGTCTGTAACACAGCAGTTTGTTTCACGTAGCTGTTCCTAAATGAGCATTTTAATTCTGGGGGAAATTATTTAAACTGCGGGGTGGTTTTAAAAAGGAGCTTAGAAGCCTACAACATAGCAAGAACCCAGAGCCAGAGCCGGTGTGACCCTGATGCTGCACTCCACATTATTCTCGGCCAGGCCAGAATGATCACAGACATAGAAGTATCATGTAGGCTAGAAGTGTGCCTGTCATCATCATGTATCCAAACTGTGTGTCATTTGAGCAGAGCTTGTTTATGTAGTCAGTCCTAGCAGTATGTCCTGAGCCACAGGTGAGGCTTGTGGACGGTGAGGTCGCAGGCTTGGTGTTTGTTGAGATGTCATCACTGACGGGTCCTGTGGTGTTGACTTGACACTGTGCTGGTAGCTGCCCCGTGCTTCGGTGCCTGGCTGTTGGAGTGTCTGTCATTGAGCATCTCCAGGAAGTGCATATGTTGCATGCTCTTTAACAGGTATTTTAAGCATTAAAAACAGCACGATGTTACTGACATTATGCATTTGACTACTTAGAGTGTTTATTAGTTTGCAATATCATGTAATTGGTACTTCAGAAGTAGTTTGGTCTCTTTCCAAGTGAGTGGCTATAGCTCCCAGTCCCGGGAGGCCTTGATTCACACTGTCTGTGAAGTCATTCCTGAGTGCCAAGTGCACACGTAGACTAGGAGCAATAAAGATGTGCATGCCATCCTGACTCATGGAGTTTTATTCACTGTAGCAATGACAATTCACATTCTGATTAAAAATTAAAACATGGTCTGTGTGTCTGTTTTGTCCTCTGACTGGAGTTTGGAGATTTACAAGTCGTGAAGTTGACAGAATGGTCCAGACAGCCCTGTTGTCCTCCTGAGGGAGGTCGGCTCTGAAGTCCCAGTGCCTAACCAGTGCTTTCTTGAAGCCTTGGCACCCCAGAGCACATGGCACCGTAGCTGGGTAGTCCATTTCTGTAGCTGGAGGCAGACGATCCAGATCCCTGCAGAACATCAGTTTATTACGAGAACATTCTGGACAAACATCCTTTCTCTACTGGCACAGAAATTGACGGGCCAGATGGGTCCTGAGTCACTGTTACCCCTCTGAGTCTGCATGTCAGTGTGTGTCTGTGTCTATTTATAATACATAGCTTAGTCTGATTCACACACAGGCGAAACTCTGCATTGAGCTGGATGAAATAGTAGAACAAGGAGCCTCGAACCCCGCCCATCCCTTAGATTCTGTTACTCGGTCTTAGGTGGTATGAGCCTCGTTAGCTCCACCTTCAGCCACAGAGAGTGTGCTCATGTAGCATCCTAACACTCACCATGGCCTCTGGAGATGTGCTTCTGAGAGTATCTGTCATCCTGGCTGTCCTACTCACTCTGTAGACCAGGCTGGCCTCGAACTCAGAGATCCATCTGCCTCTGCCTCCCGAGTGCTGGGATTAAAGGCCTGCACCACCATGCCAGGCACTACTGGTATTTTCCATTTGAGTCAGCTTCCCCAGGGCCAGATGGTTAAGGATCAGGAATCCTACACCGTGAACTTTAAACTTTGCTGAGCATGGTGAACCCTGCCTATCATCTCGGTGCTCAGGAGACAGAAGCAGGAGAGTTCAAGGCCAGCCTCAACCACGTAGAGACCAGCCTGGGCTATATGAGACCCTGTCTCAGGAAACTAGCTATACCACCAAAGCGTTGTTTTCACTAATAAGAGAACTTGTTTTCCTGTGTTACTTCATATGGTTTTAAATATAGTCAGAATAATTGTAGTTGCCTAACCAAGTAATTTTAGAGTTGTATTTGCTTAAATCCTCATCCTGAGAATTCAAGCTCATTCGCATGTTCTAGTGCTACAGTAAAATAGTTTATGACTAATTTTTTCTTACTAATAATTAAACTTTTAAATGAAATTACATATTTTTTTCTTTTGGTTTGGCTAAGGTACTAAATTTAAAAGGTTTTAAGACCACATAATTTTTGGTTACACCAGGAATTCTCAGCCTCTTTAGAAATATCCCTGAATTAAAAACAAAAAGACAAAAATCCATGGATTCCTGGCTAACTCCTGGAGAGATTGCCGTACTTACCAGGAAAAGAGGACAGAGGCCCCCTTTAATTAACGGGTGAATGACCTTGAAGGATTAGGTAGGAGGGCTCGAGAAAAATAACAGTTTGGGCAGATATGTACTGTCAGCCCCAGCCTGCTTCATCTCACCCATCTTTCCTGGGCTCAGCAGACACAGCGGGAGAGAAAAGCAAATGGGGACATCCTCCTGCCTGGGGCAGGCGAGCCACCGAACATGAGTGTGCTTCCCTACTCAAGCTGAAGTGTAGGCTGGAGTAAACACAAGGGAGCTGAAAAGTAGAAGCTGAGCTGGGAGAGCAGCGAGCCGGCTGCGGACAGTGTCTGAGTGGCTCGTTGCTTGGCAAAGGTTGAGAATCCCTGGTTGAGACTAACGAAGTAGAAAGCAGCTTTCCAGTCTTACGTACTATTAAACCCTTTCCTGCCTAGGGAGAAAATGCCGTCCCTGTGCTAGATAGACAGCGGTTGAGAAGATCCAGTTTAAACTGAGGTATGTAACAAACGAGCGTTCAGAGTGAGACACATCGGGAACGGTTGCCAGGAGTTAACCCCTGTCAACCGGCACGGTCGAAGAGTTTCTAAAGGTGTGATTAGCAAGCCCGGCTTGCTGTGAGGCCGTGTCTCCTAGAACGGTCCTGCTACGCCCATGAAGTCTCACAGCTGCCTCAACATGAGCTGAGCAATGTCTGATGTCTTTACATTAGACGTGCCAAAGTGGATTGGGGGTGGGGGAGATCATCAGGCCTCCACCCTACACAAAACCACAGGCAAGGAAGTGCTGGGAATGGAAGGAGTCTTAACCAGGGAAGAGCACACCAATGGTTCATCCAGTACCAAACAGCCCTGAAGACATACAAGTAACATACAGACCAAGCAAGTTTCATCTGTGCATTTAGAAATGCATATATATACATACATATATACACACTCACACACATATATATCTAATAATAGTTAATGAAAAATAGAGACCATGATTTTGAAAGAGAGCAAGAGGGGATGGATGGGAGAGTTTGGAGGGAGGAAAAAGAAGGAGGAAATGATGTAACTATAATTTGGAAAAAAAAAAAAGGTAGCAAATCACAGCCCTGGCCTGAAGGTCATCTGGCTGTTGGCCCAGGCAGGTGGAAGGTTTCGGGAGGGGGGGGCATTCTGGAAAGCGGAGCTGAAACCCCTTCTGAGAGGGGCCTCAGTGGCTGGGGGATGGATGAGCACTGTTCAGGTCTCCCAGGAGAGGGAAGCGTTTCGGAAATGAGTGAGTTTATAATGGAGACATTGATGAAGAAGGAAGGGCCTCTCCAGTGTTTCTCGACTTGGGATAGGATCCCACCCTGGTATCCCATCAGAATGCCGGTGGTTCCCCCACAATGATGGTGCTGCTGGGCACACTGTCACCAGCCCCCGAAAGGGCCAACACTTGGAACCTGAAGTACGGCATCTACTGGTGCGTGTTGCTAACGGTGAAGTATCACTAATGAAGGGCTGTCTGTGGTCCCAGACACACGGGTGGGAGATGGATGGCTCTCGAAAAGTCTGGAATCCGAACTGAAGTGAAGACCAACGTAAATTAGTCAAAAAACAGAACACACAACACAAAGCATTATGAAATGTTTTAACACAGGCAGTGTTACTGTTTCAAAACACAAAGTATTCTGAATCTGCCAGTGCGGGGGTGGCCTGTGGTCATTGACTAACAGAGACTACTCCCCAGACTTACTCTGCAGCTAAAGATGCCCTTTGTAGTGTTATTTATTCCAAGGATGTGTGTAACACGAATTCCTAAATGGTCTTTTAATAAAAAACCCAGAACCAGATATCGGGGTAAATGCAGAAAGATCAGAGAGACAAAGGAACAAGCCACTGTTCTTGCCTAACCAACTCCAGGAATCCACTGACTGAAATCCTCTGAGTCCTCACCCTGAAAAAGCTTTTAGCTGAAAGGGACGCTTCTGTTGAAAAGCCTTTAGTTCCTGTCTCTTCACGCCTTATATACCTTTCTCTGCCCACCATATAACTTCCTGGGACTAAAGGCATGTGTGCTTCCCAGTACTGGGATTAAAGGTGTGTGCCACCACTGCCTGGCCTCTCTGTTTAATCTAGTGGCTTGTTCTGTCCTCTGACCTTCAGGTAAATTTTATTAGGGTACACACTATATCGCCACAGATGTGTATTAGGAGTCATTTATTGTAATCTAGCAAAGCATGGCCTGGCATATCAAAGTGAATTACTAAACCATTGAGAATGCATGAATGAGTGAAACCATACTCTCTCACAACATAATGTGTGTCCTTATTCCTAGTAAGAAGTTATCTGAGGTCATTAAGCTCTCGATTATTCATGACCACTTTCTAATTTTATCATATTTACACATATTTACCTCCTTTTCTTTCAAGGCAACAAGGGCTTAGAACCTTAGTATTCTGCCCCTAGACCAAGCAACGCTCCTTTCTCATTCTCCTGGCAGCTCGGTTAATTTCCCCATCTGGCTTCCTCACCACGTATCGGGGGGAAGAAGACACAGCCACCACTGTAGCCCTGCCATGCCTTCGGCCAGAGAAGAATGTGTCACCCAGAATTCCCTGTTCTCTGTAACTGTAGGATTTAAGACAGTCTTTAATGAAGTATTACTTTTATGAGATTTTAGGTTAAAAACCCAATGTATAGAAAAAATATGTAAATAACCTAGCCTCTCCTCTTATGTCCTGTAGCACGTTCTTGGTCAGGTAACTAATAAAATATTAGATATTTTCAAAATTGTCACAGTTTTGACACTTGGAAGTTGTGTTTCTTAGAACTTTTAGAAGGCATGCTGTTTTTACTTGATGTGAATTAAACTATTTTGAAAGAGATCATTTTCTTTTCGGATTCTGTTTTCTCCATGTTTTGCCTATGTTCTTTTCAGCCCTTTTTCTTTTCTTCTTCTTTTTTTGGTCTGTTTCCTTAGAGGTTGCATTATACTCATCCTATTTTACCACAAGACATCGTTAACACAGTAGCAGGAGAGGAAACTTCTGCACAGCCTTTTAGGTGAACCTGATTGCGGGTAACCCAGGGCAGTGGGCAGAAATTTCTGTGAGTGAATGAGGCAGATCTAAACTAGGTTGGTAAAACTGGCAGAGTCTGCTCAAGTCCTACACGATAATGCCCTGCCACCCCACACCCTCCCCACAGTTCCTCATGGGCGGCCCTTCCATTTTTACACCTGTCTGGCCTTCCTAAGCTTCTCTGCTTATGATTCCAGCGATCTTTCAAGTTGTGATACCATGCTTGATTCAAAATTCCTGAGGTGGGTACCCACAGCCCACCACGACAAACCATCTCCTTTTAAAGGGCAAGGCAATGTGTTCTGCACGTTTTAAGAACCCTCTTGTGCTCTTTAAGCCCTTGGTGTAGTAGAGATGCCCATCTCATACATCAATAGAATCCGAGAGGCAGACGAAACTGTTAATCCTGTATTTCGCATTAGAATCTTGAAAACGGTATTCAAGTGTAACTTAGTTGCAGTGCAGCCCCAATTCAGGTTTCTAACTGTGATACTGTTCCACATCAGGACCACCACGGTGCCCAGCTTGCCTTAGCCAGGTCAGAACTTCCACCTTCCTTTCAGTGACCACCCCTCAGCCATCTGTCACTCCCCATCTCATACCATTGTGACTGCTGTATTAGGATCCATATTGAATATTTTTATAGGAATGT